CTGGGGGGTTCAGTTTGGGTCTGGGGTCTCAGGGGTCCCAAGGTCTCACTTTGGGTCTGGGGGGGCTCAGGGTTTGGGTCTGGGGGGTTCAGTTTGGGTCTGGGGATCTCATTTTGGTTCTGAGGGGCTCAGTTTGGGTCGGGGGAGTCTCAGTTTGGGTCTGGAGGGCTCAGGCTTTGGGGGTCTCAGGGGCGTCACCATCGGGTTTTGTCCCACCCACCTGTGTCAAAATGTCCGTTCCCCCCTTGCCCCCCCCAGTATTTCCTGTCCCCAAACTGGGACAGGGAACTGAAACTAGGAGAGGGAAGGGGGGAAATGGGAGGGGCTCAGGGGGCCCCAGCGACCCTCCGACTGGTCTGGGGGACCCTAAAAGGGTCTGGGGGACCCCCAGTGATCCCCCCCCCCCCCCGTGGTTCTGGGAACTCCCAAAGACCCCCCGGCAGGGACAGGGAGCCCCCATGACTCCCCCTGGTGCCAATCGCCCTCTGTGGGGGGTGGGCTCTGGGGATCCCTCCAGCCCCCCCAGCGGGGTCCGGGGAACTCCCACTAACCCCCCTCCCCCTCCCCACAGGTTCCCAGTGCTCCAAGAGTCCCCCCGAAGGCTGCGCCCAGTGCACGACCTCCCCCCCGCCGCCTCCCCCGGATTCCCCCGAGCCGCCCACTCCCCTCACTGTGACCACCCGGAGCCCCCTCTGCTCGCTCCTCCAGCCCCGGGGGGGGCTCCGGGTGTGGGCGGGACCCCCCTCCCGCGAAGGGGCCGTGGGGGACCCCTTGACCCTCGAGTGCCGCTTCCGAGCCCCCCCCGGCGCCACCCTCACCTGGCTCCAGGTGTGTCCCCTCAGGTACGGGGACGTCCCCGGGGGCTGCAGCGGGGCACGGGAGGTGGCGGCCACCCGCCACGTGGCCAAGGAAGAGGAGGGAAGGGCCACCCTCACCTTCCCCAAACTGTCCCACAACGACTCCGGGCTCTTCTTCTGCCGCGTGGAGTTCGGGGCTGAGACCGCCCGGTCCTGCGGCACCTTCGTCAGGGTCCACGGTGAGTGCGGGGCGTGGGGGGTCTCCTCTGAGTCACCGGTCCCCCCCATTATAACCCAGTCCCTCCCAGTCCCCTCCAAGTGCCCCCCAGTCCTGTGGCACCTTCATGAGTGTCCCAGGGTGGTCTCAGGTCTGATCTGAGTTACCCAGTCCCTCCCAGTATCACCCAGTCCATTCCAGTTACTCCCAGTATCCCCTTTGAGCCCCTCCCAGTGCCCCCGAGTCCTTCCCAGTCCTTCAGGGAGGGTCTGGGGTGAGGACGGGGTGTCTCAGGGGGTCTCCTGTGACCTCCAGACCCTCCCAGTATTTCCCAGTTCCTCCCAGAGTCACCCTTGAGCCCCTCCCAGTATAACCCAGTCCATCCCAGTCCCCTCCCACTATACCTCAGTGATACCACAAGCCCCCTCACCCAGTCCATCCCAGTTACTCCCAGTATCCTCCTTGAGTTCCTCCCAGTGCCTTCCAGTACCCCCCAGTCCCACTCCAGTCCATCCCAGTGCCCCTCAGTCCATCCTAGTTAGCCCCAGTGCCCTCTCAGTGCCCCCCCAGTTCCCCCCAGTGCCCTCCCAGTATAACCCAAGTATAACCCAGTCCCCGCCAGTGCCCTCCACTCCCTCCCAGTATAACTAGTGCCCTCCCAGTCTAACCCAGTCTATACAGTGCCCTCTGTTCCCACAGAGCCAGTTCCTGTCCCGTTCCTGGCCCTCAGGGAGAGCACCAAGAACCGGATCCTGACGGCCCAGGGGATCCTTCTGCTGCTCTGCTCGGCCGGGCCGGGGCTGCTGCTGCTCCTCAGGGTGAGGGGAGGGGCCAGAGGAGATCCCTCCAACTGGGACCCCCAGCTGGGACACCGGGGACACAAAGTGGGACATTGGGGACAACAACTGGGACACTGGGGACACTGGGGACACTGGTTTTGTCACTGGGACCCCCCAGTTCTCACCCTCTGTTCAGCTGGGCTGGGGCTGCTGCTGCTCCCCAGGGGGAGGGCAGGGGGCAAACTGGGACCCCCAACTAGGACACCAGCTGGGACACTGGCCTCCAACTGGGACAGTGGGACCCCCAACTGAGACATTGGGGACACCAATTGGGACACGGAGGACACCAACTGGAAAAATGGGGACACTAATTGGGACATTGGGATCCCCTGTACCCACAAAACCCCCTCTGGCCACCCCAAAACCCCTTTCCCGCCACCCCCCCAGAAGCGCTGGGCCAACGAGCAGCTGCTGCACCCTCAAAAACCCACCTGCGAGGAGGAAAACCTATACGAGGTGAGTTCCTGGGGGTGGTCCCTGCACCCCAAAACTGTGCTGAGGGCTGGGGTGAAGGGTCTATCACCACCTAAACCCCCTCAAATTCCCCCCTTTCTCCCCCCAGGGGCTGAACCTGGACGAGTGTTCGATGTACGAGGACATTTCCAGGGGGGTCCAACCCACCTACCAGGACGTGGGGACCCTCCCCGGTGACCCTCAGCTGGAGAAACCCTGAGAGATCCCCCCTAAAAAAGAGGAACCCCCTAAAAATAGGAAGACCCCCCCCCAAGGAGGGGTTTAGGACCCCCCTCCCTTTGCTCGGCCCCCCTCAATGCTTGGCTTTGATGACACGAGGCTGTGGCTGACCCCTCCAACCCCAAAATAAAACTGATGCACTGCCGAGGGATTCCTGTGGTTTTTAGAGGGGGCTGGAGGTGATAAATTGTTAGTAAGTTGGTAATTAAGGAGTGGTTAATTAATCAAGAGGGGGAGGCAGGTGAGAGGCCTCAGGGGCTGATGGGAAGAGGGGGAGAAAAAGAGGGAAGTCTTGAAGTGACACCCAATGTCCCCGATTTTTCCCCTATTACCCCCGTTGTCCTTCTTTATCTCCTATTTTCCCTCATTTTCCCTCATTATCCCCCATTTTCCCTCATTTTTCCCCATTATTCTCTTGTCCCCATTATCCCCTATTTTCCCCATTATCTCCAATTTTCCTCTCATTTCCCCCATTTTCCCCCATTATCTCCCATTATCCCTCATTTCCCCATTATCCTCTATTTTCCCTCACTTTCCCTCCATTATCCCCCTTTTCCTCTCAGACACCCCTTCACTCCCATTTCTCCTCATTAAGCCCATTACCTCTCATTTTCCCTCATTATGCCCCATTTACTCCAGTCTTCAACCATTATCCCTCCTTTTCCCCCCATTATCCCATATTTGCCCCCATTTCCCCACTGGTCCCAATTTCCCTCATTATCCTCCATTTCTCCCTTATTATTCCCCATTTTCCCTCAGTATCTGATATTTTTTCGCCATTATCCACTATTTTCCCCATAATCTCCCATTTCCCCCATTACCCCTCATTCCCCCCCCCCGATTTTCCTTCCATTTCTCCACCATTATCCTGAATTTTCTCCGTTATCCCCTGTTTTCCTTAATTTTCTTCCATTTCCCCCCATTTGCCCCATTTCCCTCTCATTTCCCGCCTTTCTCCACATTTCACCTCATTTTACCCCATTATCCCCATGTTTTCCCTCATTTTATCTCATTATCCCCTATTTAGCCCCATTTTCCCACATTAACCCTACTTTTTCCCCATTATCCCCTATTATTTTCCTTTTTCCCCTCATTGTCCCCTCACTCTCTCTCGTCCCCCATTCTCCTCCATTAATTAACACCCCCTTTCCCACAGTTTTATCTCCCATTTTTCCTTCTCTCCTCCTCCCTTCCCATTTCCCACATTTACCCCATTCTCCCCCATTATCTCTCCTTTTTGACCATTTCCCCCCATTCCTCCCATTTCCCCTTACTCTCCCCCCACTTCCTTCCCATTTCCCCTCCTTTTCCTTACATTTTTCCTCATTTCCCCCATATCCCTCTGTTTCCCCCTCACAATCCCATTTTGCCCTATTTTCCTCCCATCATCCTCCTTTTTCCCCCATTTGCCTCACATTATCCCCCATTTCTCTCCCATTATTTCCCATTTTACCCCCTTCCCCCCACATTATGCCCATTTTACCCCATTTCCCTCCCTATTTACCCCATTTTCCCCTATTTCCTTCCCGTTATCCTCCTTTTCCCTCCATATCCCTCCCATTTGCCCCCATTATTCCTATTTTCTCCCATTTTACCCCCTTTCCCTTACATTATCCCCATTTTCCCCCATTTCCCTCCCATTTTGCCCCATTTTCCTCTCACGCTTCTTCAGACCTTCCCCCTTCCCGCCTCGCCCTCTGGTTTTCCTGCCTTTTCCACTCAGCCAATCAGCGCTGGTCTGACTGGGCCCCTCAGCCAATCAGCGCTGAGTGCGGGAAATTCGAACCCCAACAGCCGATGGTGTGTGAAGGGGTCGGGGGGGGGCAGTGGGAGAGGGAATTTAGGGGGGAAATGGGGGTATTTGAGGGGGAATTGAGGAGTGTCCTGAGGGGATCACTGGGGATCCGGGGAGGGGCTGAGGGAACAATGTGTGTCCTGCAGGCGGCTCAGTCCAGGAACCCCTCTGTCCCCCCTTTTAACCCAGACCCCCTTTTTTCCAGCCTTTTTTTTACCATCATTGACCCCATTAACTATGGGGGGGGGTCTAGGGGGTCCCTGTAACACAAACCCCCAACTGTCCACACCCCAAGCGCAGAAAATCCAAACGTGATACTGCCAAATTCAGCCCAAAAGTCACCCTCAACCCTCCCCGGGAGTGTCCTGGGAGGCTCCAGTAGGGTCCCCGTAGCAGGTTGCTCCCCAGCTCCCCAAAGAGGGTGTTTATGACTCAAAAAATGCCCTTGCCATGGGGGGCTCTTCAAGCATGCGGTGAAGTTGGTGGACATGGAGCAGCTTTGGGGGGGTGGGTAACAGACCCCCAGAGACCCCCTGAATAGAGGGAGGGGCTCTGAAGGATGGGGGTGGGGGGAGGGGGACTTGGCTGCCCTGCTGGAGGGTTTCTGGGGAGGGGGCTGCTGGGGGAGCGGCGCAGGAGCCTCGGGGGGACTTTGCTGAGGGGGCACCGGGGACCCTCAGAGCTTGAGTTCCTGCTCGACCACCAGCACAGGGGTGCTGTGGACACACGTGGGACCCTCTCCCAAACCCAGATTTTTTCTCCCCAAACTCAGATTTCTCCTTCCAAACTTTGGCTGGATGGAGGAGGAGGAGGCTGCAAGAAAGAGGAAGTAAACCTGGGCCCCCCAGGCAGGTGAGGAGGAAGTCAGTGCCCCTTTGGCCCTGTCTTGTCGTGCATCTCCCAGACAAGTATCGTCCCCAGCTGCAGGACAACCCCACTGGCACAGCCGTCCTGCCAGGGCTGGATTTGGAGCGATGTTCTTGGCCTTCCCTCTGGGCTGGAGGCAAATCCCCTGCCTGTCCTGAGGCATTAAGGCGTGAAAAGGATCTGTGGAGGGAGGTGATTAAAGGGAAAAGGGGGTTAGGGGACATTTGTGGTAGGGAGTTACTGGGCCCTGGGTGATGAGAGGAGGGGCAGCACCACAAGCAGGTGAGTCCTGAGACTCCCCTGGTGTCCCCAAACCCTCTTGGTGTCCGCAGTTCCCCCCCTGACACCTCCAATTCCACTGTCTCCAGACCCCATCCCTGATGTCCCCAATTCTCCATCTCCCCCCACGAGCTCCCCCTGGACCATTTGACCCCCAAAATGTTCCCCCCTCACTCCACACTCACAGAAAGGTCAAGGAGACACGTTTGGGACACTTGGGGGGCTTTGGGGGGCACTGGTGATTACTGGGGGATACTGGGACACACTGGGGGGAACCAGGGGGCACTGAGAGGGAGTGGGGGGTTATTGAAGGACGCTAGGAGGGAACTGAGACACACTGGGGGGCACTGGCAGAGCACTTGACAGTTAGTGGGGGATTACCAGGACACATGGGGGGACACTGGGAGGTTACTGGGCCATACTGGGGGTTACTGGGTGCTCACTGGAGAATCATTGGGCCATACTGAGGGGCAGTGGGAGGTCACTGGGACACACTGAGTGGTCACTGGGGGAGTTACTGGGCCGTACTGAGGGTCACTGGAAGGTCACTGGGCTATACTGGGGACACTGGGCCCCCCTTACCCAGATATGGTACATCTTCGCCCCAGATTTTGGGTGGTACCCACAGGACCCCTCCCCTGAGGGACCTGCTGAACCCCACTGCTGGGATATAGGGTACCTCCAAGCCTCTCTCCCTGTGGGGTCTCTGTGTGGTGAGTTTTGGGGGTCTCTGGGGTTCAGGGGGACCGCTTAGGATCTCCTTTCCCTCCGGTCGGTCTGCCCAACCGGCAGGGGGCGCTGTGGCAC